TAATCATTTATTTACAGGACTACATTCGTTGAGAGCTATGCTACACGATGTATTATTATGTCCTTTATTCGAACACTGTATTTACACTGTCTCTTATACACATCTAGATGTGTATAAGAGACAGGAATTAAGTGATGATCTTTTTAGAGTTCTTAGACTTAGTACAGTAACTTGTTTTTACAGTGCACTTAATGATTACATTATGGCCTAATGTTTATCAGTGATCCGACCGTATAGAGTATGAAAATAGCCATATAATATATTGTGTAGATGTGTATAAGAGACAGCTTTCAAAACAGATTCTGTCATTTTTCTAGATGGCTTGTCTTACGTAGAGCTATCGCTATCCTAATAACTAGGGCCAGACACCTTAAACTGAAGACAAATGGAACATTGCATAACAACCGAGCTGACACTAGCATTCTTACAATAGACAAACTGAAGGCTGCTGACATTATCATATTCAAGGCTGTACAAGAGACATTTACCGACGAGCAAATTAAGTCACCAAACGGTCCCCTATGTAAACTTAACCCGTTCAAAGATGAAAATGGTATCCTCCGGGTTGGAGGAAGGCTACGAAGGTCCGATCTTGACCTCGGAGGCAGACACCCAATACTCCTCCCTAAAGACAACCATGTCTCCAGACTGATTGCCGAATATTTTCATGAACAAGTCCAACACCAAGGCCGTCTGTTAACGGCAGCAGCCTTACGATCCGGGGGAATATGGATCATCGGAGCACACAATCTGGTGAGAAGTATAATTAACAAATGCAACATCTGTAAGAGATTAAGAGGCCAACCTGTCACTCAACAGATGGCAGACTTACCCAAGGACAGACTTGAATCCGTTCCCCCGTTTACAAATGTTGGTATAGATGTATTCGGACCATGGCAAGTAGTAACCAGGAAGACTAGAGGAGGTGCAGCTGAATCGAAAAGATGGGCAGTTCTTTTTACCTGTCTTAGTAGCAGAGCTGTCCACATAGAAGTTATAAACAGTATGGACACATCTTCATTCATAATGTCTTTAAGAAGATTTACGGCTATAAGGGGCCCAGTGGCAAGAATTAGATGCGACCAAGGTACCAACTTTGTTGGCGCTAGAGGGGAATTCCAAACTATATTGAACGACCAAAACGTTACCAAGTTCCTAGTCTCCCAAAACTGCGAGTGGATTTTCAATCCACCACACGCATCACATTTTGGAGGAGTGTGGGAAAGGCAGATTGGCATTATACGGCGCATTCTGGACACCATGTTTCAGAAGCTCGGCAAACATCAACTTACTGACGAAGTGCTTAGGACATTCATGGCCGAAGCATGTGCTGTCGTTAATTCCCATCCAATTACTACATTATCTACAGATCCGAACGATCCATTGGCTCTAAATCCTACCATGCTGCTGACCCAAAAGACCTCTCCACTACAGACACCTCCCGGGAAATTTGTGAAAGAAGATTTGTACGGACGTAAAAGATGGCGCCATGTTCAGTATCTCGCTGATCAGTTTTGGATACGCTGGAGAAAAGAATATCTTCAGAACCTACAATACAGGCAGAAATGGTTACAACCCAAACCGAACATTTCAGCAGGCGATGTTGTAATTCTGAAACAAAAGGATGTCCCGAGATACAGTTGGCCACTCGCCCGTGTGAAGAAAACCCTTCCGAGTGAAGATGGAAGAGTTCGTAAGGTAGAGGTGTTGGTATGTTCTGAAGGAACAAGACGGACATTTCTCAGACCAGTTTCAGAATTGATTCTTATTGAAAAGACATCTGAAAATTAATGAATTTAGAATTCCAACCTTTTAATAAAAGTATACGTTTCAGTATACGTTTTAGGCGGGGAGTGTAGTGGATTCTCTATGTAGTTATATGAGGTACTGTGTTACTATGGTAGCTTACTATGCCAGGT